GTCAGCCCGCCCACCCACCCTATCTCAATTGGGATGATTTTTTTTATTCGTCGTGAACCAAGAGGGCGGAGCTTAACTGCAAAATATTGATTTCTTTACAAGAAATTAAAAACATGTTTTTGAGTATCGTGTTGTTCAAAGAATACTATACATATTAAGAAAAACTGGCAAAATATTAACCCCACCCACCCACCCCATCTCAATTGTGATGATCTTTTTAATTCTTACAAACTTAAAACCAGTTCAAAATGGTACATTTTTGTAAAGAAATATGGATTTTGCAATTAGGCTCCGCCCCTCGGTCTGCCAACGAATGAAAACTTTATTACTATTTAGATCAAAGCAGGTATGGGTGGCGTTTAATATTTGGCTTTAGTTTTTTCTTAATATACTTAGTATTCTTTGAATAACACGATACTCAAAAACATCTCTTACATGGTAGTTTCTTATAGAGAAATAATAAGGACTTTGCAATTAAATTCCGCCCTCTTGGTTCATGGCGAATAAAAAAAAATAGATTTATGAATTTTTTAGACTTTTAAAATTCTTTTTTTTTCAATTTTTCATTTCTGGCTATATTTTCGTCAAATTTTTAAAGTAGTACTAGGATGAGACTGATTTTGGCAGATGACATACCTTCCAAGAGAATAGAGGGCGGGGCTAGTACTTGGTAAGATAACACTGATTTTGGCACTTTTGACATTTTCGACCATTTTTCAACCAGAAGTCATTTTCGGCTTCATTTCTTCGAAAATTCCTATCGTTTTTCCAAAATTACCAAATCAAAAACAGCTATTTTTAAAGTTGCGTCAAAAACACTCGGTATAAAATTTTTGTATGACATCCCCAAAACCTAGAGGGTAGGTGGGCCGGGCTAGTATTTGATAAGATAAGACTGAATTTGGCACTTTTGAGATTTTCGACCCTTTTTTCAACTATGACATATCCTATAAGACACTAGAGGGTGGGTGGGCGGGGATAGACTTGTTAAGATTAGACTCTTTTTGGCAAATAACATATCTTCCAAGAAAATAGAGGGCGGGTGGGTGGGGCTAGTATTTGATAAGATAAGACTGATTTTGGCAAATGATATATCCTGTAAGAAACTAGAGGGTGGGTGGGCGGGCCTAGTATTTGATAAGACAAGACTGATTTTGGCACTTTAGGCATGTTCGACTATTTTCAACCATTTTTGAAAATAAGCTACATATTTTCTTGTAAATTTCGACATCCAGGAGTCATTTTCGTCTTCGATTCTTCGAAAATTTCTACCCTTCTTCCCCTTCCAGTAGCAAATAGTGTAACAAAAAATTTACGATTACTAGTTTGAAAGAATACTGTGCATATTGAGAAAAAAAGATAAAATATTAACCCCGCCCACCCTCCCCATCTCAATTGTGATGATTTTTTTAATTCTTAGAAACCTAAAACCAGTTTAAAATGGTACATTTTTGTAAGGAAATATGGATTTTGCAATTAGGCTCCGCCCCTCGGTCTACTAACAAATGAAAACTTTATTACTATTTAGATCAAAGCAGGTATGGGTGGCGCTTAATATTTGGCTTTAGTTTTTTCTTAATATACTTAATATTCTTTGAATAACACGATACTCAAAGACATCTCTTACATGGTAATATGAAACAATAAGGACTTTGCAATAAAATTCCGCCCTCTTGGTTCACGGCGAATAAAAAAAAATCATCACAATTGAGACAGGGCGGGTGGGCGGGGCTTACATTTTGCCTTTTTTTGTTAATATACGGGGTATTCCATACCAAATCGACCACTTTTTAACCCGACCCCTTTTGATATGCCTGAAAGTTTTTCTTCCTTTTCTATCCTATAAAAGACGTTTCTCAGAATTTTTTCAATTTTTTTTTACCCGACTCAAAAAAAGTTATGAATTTTTGAAAAAAACCGCTCATTTTTTTTTGAACTGCTAGAACTTTTTCAAAAATTGACCGTTTGGGACCGTTTTTTTTTCAAAATTTTTGTTTTTAAATGTACTTTTCGGAAAAAAATATACCAACATTTTTAAAGTTCATCTTATAAGAAATTTTTCAGTTTTTTGAGAAAAACCATCAAATTTTCGAAGTTCGCCATTTTTTATTTTTTATTTTTTTTTCTCATAAAAAACTTCAATCAATTCTCCAATTATCCCCACTAATCCCGGAGTGGGCCGATTCTTTTTTCTATTTTTTTATTTAATTGAAAAAAAAATCTTTTCATTTTCAATAGTAAACAATTTTTTTTTTCCCAGTTTTAGAGTTGGTTTTTTTTGAACTTGTCGTTTAGTGAACAACATACACTTGGATTTAGTGGTGGAAAATCTGAGGCCTGTCGTTGCTGACCAGTCTTCTAGATCTTGTAGGGAGCTCTGCAGAAGAAAAGTGTCTCCTATGATTGTGCGAGAAACCTGATAGTTGAAGAGTTATTTTAGGCTAAAGTTAAATTTATCCAAATTTTGACGTTTTTGATGCATTACAATAAATTTGATGGTCTTATTGGAATAAATCACCACAAAAATTTATACACATTTTAAATTTAGTTTTTTAAACAGTAATTGTTTATAATTTTATGCTATAATAAGGCCAGTAAAACTCTTTCCGAACATTTTCAGCATCAGTGGGTTAAAAAATCATAGTCAGGTTTCTCGCAAAATCATAGGAGACACTTTTTGTAGAGCGTTCAATTCTCTATAAAAATATGTGATTGAATTTTTTTCACGACACACGACGGGCTAGCAATAAAAATCAGAAGGTGCAAACAAAAATTTTCCCATGTTATTCTTATGGGAAATAGAAAAACGCGATGCGGACGGTCTTAATATTAACATTAAGAGCTCAACTTTTAACTGGTATTTTTTTACGTTGAAAAGAAACTTTTGAACCTCTTTGACACGAAAAAAAAAATTATTTTTTTTTTTGAATCACCCTAATATATATAATATAATAAGGATTACAACATCGATCGAATTGCTTATTTGATGCCATAATGTTTCGATGAAATTATTCTGATAAATGTGGATAAGTATAATCAAAATAATTATCGCTTCTAAAACAATGAATCAGAAGAATGTTCATAAACTAGAGAAAATTGTTCTTTTTATTAATCAAATATAATGACAATAATCTTTAATTCAGTACTAAAACGCACTGAAGATTTATGGGTTATGTTCTAACTCTCAATTTAAGACAACCGTATAGATTTATGGATTAGAACATACTTGCGTGTATCGAATAAACTGGCTATAGGTAAGTCTGTAATTGTCATACCCTAGTTTATCGATCCGATTGACGTATTAAGATTTGAATCTCAGTCATATTAATCGTAGATTAAGATTATAAATAAAAAATATATTACCTGAAAATCATTTAATTATGTTTCTTTTGTAATATAAATAATATAGATAAAAAAAAAATTTTTTTTCTTTTGAAAATAAACAAATTTTTTTTTCAATTAAATAAAAAAAATAGAAAAAAGAATCGGCCCACTCCGGGATTAGTGGGGATAATTGGAGAATTGATTGAAGTTTTTTATGAGAAAAAAAAATAAAAAATAAAAAATGGCGAACTTCGAAAATTTGATGGTTTTTCTCAAAAAACTGAAAAATTTCTTATAAGATGAACTTTACAAATTTTGGTATATTTTTTTCCGAAAAGTACATTTAAAAACAAAAATTTTGAAAAAAAAACGGTCCCAAACGGTCAATTTTTGAAAAAGTTCTAGCAGTTCAAAAAAAAATGAGCGGTTTTTTTCAAAAATTCATAACTTTTTTTGAGTCGGGTAAAAAAAATTGAAAAAATTCTGAGAAACGTCTTTTATAGGATAGAAAAGGAAGAAAAACTTTCAGGCATATCAAAAGGGGTCGGGTTAAAAAGTGGTTGATTTGGTATGGAATACCCCATACATAGCCATCTTTCCACAACAAGAAACTTAGAACATGATTAAAATGGTTTAAGTTTCATGTTGTAAAAAAAGTCTACACATATTAAAACAAAAAGGCAACATGCAAGCCCGCCCACCCGCTCTGTCTCAATTGTGATGATTTTTTTTATTCGCCGTGAATCAAGGGGGCGGAGTTTAACTGGAAAATATGTACTTATTTTTTTACAAGAAATTTGTTTTGTGTTGTTCAAAGCGTACTATGTACTTATATTAAGAAAAAAAGGCAAAATATTAACAAATGTCTCCCTTTTATTTAAAAATTAAAACATGAGAAGATGAGAAATTAAAAATTGAGCAGTCGAAAAGTTGAAAAATTTAAAATTGAAAAATCGGAAAACGAAAAAATCGAAAAATTGGAAAAATTATAAAATTGAAAACCGATTCTAGGGTCCTAGAATTTGAAAAATATTTATTGACACATTGCCAAAGTGTGTTAGTTTATTTTACATTTAAGTGAATTTTTTACTAAATGGGGCGTCGGAATGGAGCTCGAGGGGTACTTCGGGAAGCTATTTTGATGCGGCTTGCTAAACTTAATCCAAATGTGGAAAAACGCCTCTCATATACAGGTAATAACCACTTTTCAATGTAACCAAATAAACCAAATGTAAATAAAATTTTGCTTACTTTAATGTCGATTTCTCCTTATTTCTTTATGTTATAAATTTTGTAATATCTGTTAAACATTTTGTATCGATTTGTAACACTTGATTTCATTTCTGAAAGCTGGAGAATAAACGATTTTCCCTTCATATTTTACATTTTGATTTAACGGCGCATTTTCAACCTTACATTTCAAAATTTCGTGAAAGTCCATTACGTGTTTGTTATTTATTTCACTCTTAAAGGTCCTTGTTACACGCATATTATGATTTTTTAATTTGGTATTTTTATTAAATATTATAATTTGTATTGTGCACTTGTGTAAAACAGTTTTTGCAATTCTTAAAACTGAAATGCAACTTATTATTATTATTATTATTAATTAAATTAACAAAATAAGGATTTCGAATTTTTTTATTTGCACATTTAATTTTACATTGGAATGAATATTTATTTATAAAATTTTTGGTTATATGAATAATATAACAGCTATAATTTTTCAGTATACATATGTATGGTATACACATAAAGCTCGTTTTAAAACCTTTTGACCAAGTTTGCAATTTTCTTATTTCAGTTGTAAGACTTTTCAATCAACAGGTGATTCGGTATTAATAAATACCAATAAATGTAACATTAGTTATAATAAAAAGGAAAGTACGAAATTGTGGAAATATAGAATATCACTACCGGTCCGAAAGTCTAAAACGAGATTGCGTCAAGAATGATTTTGAAATTCTTTTGTCGTTTTTTTTTGACAAACAAGATCTTTTACAAATGTCAATGACAGGAAAAATAAGTATTAGTCGCTTTGTGTTAATTTTAAATAAAGTAGAAATTGAAGTATTTTTCAAAATCATCCCACACCGTAAAACATTAAATCACAGTTAGAGTGGTCGATGTTTGATAAAACAGGGATACAACAAGTACAGCAAAGATATAACGTACCATTAAAAAAAGAGAATCAGGATTGATTCTGTTTTTTAAACTTCATTTAGTAATCATGTCATATAAAGCTATCAACGTCCATTAAGTTTAAAATTAACTGTCAGGTTGAAAAGAAAATTGATTAATTTTAATTTAACACACGCTGGCGCATAATATTTATGACACTGACAGCTGATTTTCTAAAAAACATGGCCACGTGTATTCCCCTTTTTTTTAATCGCACGGTATATTTATAGAAGAATGTGTGTATATAAGCATATATATGTATATATATTTTTTAGTTCAGACTTTTTGATTTATTTGTCAACGTTTGTGTAAAAATGTATCAAATAATTCGTGTAATAACTTCTACAATAAAAAATTGACTGGAATTTTAAAGCCCGCAGTCTGATACATTTTTCTTAGTAACGATCTTCGAAATAGAAACAGAAAATAACGTTGTCATTACAAATTTATTGTCCTGCGAAGACGCATTTGTTCTCATTTCCCCTGTAAAATTAATATCAACAAAAATTCAGTAGCTCGCGTTATTCCCTCTCATCGAAATGCTCATCCTCCTCTCGGCCTTGGCGCTGGGTAAATCTTGGCTTCCTGCTGAACTTGCAGCAGCGATTGGAGGATATCTCCATCTCCAGGGTCTTTGTTGCAGATGTCCGTCTGTAGAAGCTCGTTCTCGGAATGGTACACTGTCGCTGGGACTGGAAGCGTTGCTTTCTTTGCTTTCAGTTTCTTCCTCTTCTTCTTCCAGTTCGACTTCGGTCCATCTTCTGCTGAACATAACTGTTGGTCTACAACTGGGGATCAGACTACTGGGTGATACAGTGGCTGAGCAGAGAAGTCGGACGGTGTCGGGAGAAGTGGGCTCTTTTTCGCTACCAGATCTTCGAATTTTGGGATTTTTGTTTTGGACGCGCCAGAAACGGCAAACGTCTCGAAAAACTGACCAAACCTATAATGGTACAGTGATACAATTAACAACTTTAACACAATTTTTGCTTAAACCTTAAGTCTTTCAGTGGTTTTTTGTTTTCTTTCAACATTCAAACTGTCGCATTTGGAACGCTATCTAAATATTGCATGCGTGTTCGGGTGTATGTTTCAGAAGATTTAATTTAATACTTTCAACGGAGAAAAACTATTAGGTAATTTTGACATAAGTACTTATCCAATGTAGCACTAACAAAGTATACTGCGTTTTAACATAGTTTGTCCGAATTGATTTTTAAAAATAATAATATATTAGTGAAGGATATGAAGAGATATTTTTTAATATTAGATTTGTCATAGGTTTTTAAGATGACGCCATCAGCTTTCCGGAGAGAACGGATAAATATATTTCGTTAATTTAAGTATAAGGTTTGTCCAAAATGGATTTTTTAGAACAACTGGCTGGATTACTTTCTACTACTACAGATGTAGGAACCGGAATGTATGTGTAATAAGTAATGCAGATTTGAAACACATCATACATTTTTTGGAAAAACTATAGACCAGTTTTGTGTATTTAAAAAAAAATTGAATCGTTAAGAAATGTTTAGAAACAACAGTACAAAACACATACCTTTACGTATGAAACATTTTAGCAACGTTTAGCAACAATATTGTGTTTTTAATGAAAAGAAAAAAGGCGCCACATGAGACCTTGCCGTGGATTTGAAACTAACAAAGAAGAACGACGTGTAAGGATGATCAAAGAAAGTCTTTATGTACATAACACGTAATATATAAAAAATAGAGCAAAAGACGACGCGCTAAAAGGTCGAATTTGATGAATTATATATATTTAGATTGATGTTTAGGTTTTTTTTTTAAAGGCAACATTTATTACGTTTTTGAATGGATCTTTAGCGGATATTTCACTGATATAAATAGAATGAGATAATGGGAATTATGGAAAAAACAATATATCTACATTTTTTAACAAAACAAGATTTTGAAAGCCACCTTGAAGGAGCTTAACTTAAAGACCTGTTTGTGAGTTAAAGATGAGTTTCATTAGCTTAGTTTTTGATGATGTTGTCGACATTCTTGTTTACGTTGAATATTTTAATGGGATTTCTTTGAAGAATTGAATGTAATTTTTTTCGAAATTGCATAGTTTGGAAATTAAAATTTGAAATTTAAAAATAAGAAAATAATCCTATAACGTAGGCAACCATGCTTAAGAATTTAATTAACCCTCGACTTAGGAAAGTAAAGCCACACATAAACATTTGAGAGTCGCTTGACTCAGTCCCAGTCATTTCTTGCGCAACAGTGTTAGTTTGAACACGTGTTGAAAACAAGAGCAGATTAAATTTAGTTTGTAACTTCATATAAGGGCAATTGTTTAAAGGAAAGTGGATCTCAGTCGACGCCACAGTCCGCTTGAACGAGTGTAATAGTAATAGTGTAACACCAGGTTATTAATGTTTTTTCTAATTTGATGTGTGTAAAACTTCAAAAATTCGTCAACACGTCTAATTCTGGTTTTAATGTTTGTAAATTCTTAGTTCATGTTGAGACTTTTTTAACTGTTCATAATTCTAAGACAATTTAACAGCAATCATGAAAGTGTTCATACAAAACAAGCGACGCAAATTCATTTGTTCAGGCTTCACTCTTTTGTAGATCACATCAGTATCTAAAGTGTCTGATGTTTTTACTTAAGTTATTATTTTGTTATCCACACTCCATAATTTCTCACCCGAGGTTTTTAATAATTTACTTTGAGCATTGAAATTTGTCTTAAACCATGACAACAAATTCAGTCTAACAAATTTTCCTCTGTTCGACTGAATTTGGAGATTTTTTTGCTGAGATAATTCTCGCAACACCTTATTTTGATTTCTGCTGCATGCACGTTGTAAATTTGTCGAATTAAATTTTGGAGTAACCAGTAACTTGAATACATGCATAATTTACCATTATGTAAATTCTTTGCTCTTTAGAGATCTATTTACAGTGTGGCGTAACGAAATTATGTTCCCTTTGCAGTCGGTTAATTTACTTAATCACCAGCTCAACGTCGGGAGCATAAATTTCAGATTAATACGGTCAGATGTATAGAAGGAATGTCAACGTGGACAGTTTTCTGATTTGTTCTTAACTTCCCACCTTTTTTTTTAATCAACAACAGAATGAACAGTTCATCGGTCAATTGAGGCAATGTTAGCAGGGAGGATTTTAGCGCAAGAAATGGATGATAGGGTTAATTATGTAACAGCCTTACACATGTTAAGAAAAAAAAGGCAAAATGAAAGCCCGCCCACCCGCCCTGTCTCAATTGTAATGATTTTTTTTTATTCGTCGTGAGCCAAGGGGGCGGAGCTTAACTGCAAAATCCTGATTTCTCCACGAGAAATTAAAAACATGTTTTTGAGTATCGTGTTCTTCAAAGAATACTGTATATATTAAGAAAAAATTAAAGCCAAAGATTAAGCCCCACCCATAGCTCTTGATCTATATAGTAATGAAGTTTTCATTCGCTGGCAGACCTAGGGATGGAGCTTAATTGCAAAATCCATATTTACCATTTTAAACGTGTTTAAGTTTATATTTTTATATTTTGCCCTTTTTTCTTAATATACATACAATTCTTTGAACAACACGATGCTCAGAAACATGTTTTTAATTTCTTGTAAAGAAATAAGTATTTTGCAGTTAAGCTTGGTTCACTGCGAATAAAAAAAATCATCACAATTGAGACAGGGCGGGTGGGCGGGCTTACATTTTGTATTTTTGTTTTTTTTATGTGTAGACTTCTTTTCAAAACATGAAACTTAAAACATGTTTAAAATGGAAAATTTGTATACAAAAATATCGATTTCCTTTTCCTTGCAAAAATGTACCGTTTTAACCATGTTTTAAGTTTCTTGTTGTGAAAATATGGCCATGTTTATTAAGGAAAAAATGGCAAAATATATGTATATGTAGATTGTGAATTTTGGAGCATAACGTAATGTTGAAAACTGAGGAGGGCTCGATTGCGTCGAACAGACCCATTGATCTCGTGATCGTGAGCTATAATTTGGACTCCCGACAACGAACCACGTTTAAATATCATTTTCAAAGAATACCTATTCAATTGAGTCCAGTTTACATAACTAAATTTCTTGAAAAAATCCTTACTTTATTTTGGCTGCACCCATATGAGATATGGAAATCCATGCATTTGTTTTTCTAAACTTGAATGACAATTTTGAAAAAAATATAGAATATCTTAAGGGATATCTACTATATTTATTTAATTTTACAAATATTTCAATGAATTTACTATCAAGCAGTAATTGTACTCTTCAAATAAAATTACAATGAATATGTTTGTTGGTTATGTTGTTGTTATATAAAACCGTTTAAAATGGGGCATATCGGAACTGCGGTGCAATTTTTTTTTTAAATATCAATTACACTTGCGAGCATTCAAATCGGGCCACACAAATCGAGCCACTATTCACATCTGACTTTGAATCAAATTTTCCACCGAACTATATTACACTTAAAGAAACTGAATTAGCCATTAGAAAGACCAGATGTTTGTCTTTAAAACAGAGTTACGAAAAACTTCATGAGATTGTTTTGCAATATTGTTTTTTGGGCAAAAAACAAAATTGTCATTTAAAATTTTGTAAAGTTGTCTCATTTGAAAGGCACCTATAATTTGATAATCCACCCTTATTTTTAGTTCTACATGAGTATACGGATTTTCTTAAAAAAATTGTATGGAAATGTAATAAGTTTACATAAGGATGCACTTTCCTTGAAATTTTAGTAAGACACTAACACTGATTTAGGGACTATTTACATATCTTTCCTTTCTAGGTAGCTGATGACGTCAGCTTAGAAATCATTTTTTAAAATCTGTATCCAACAATATCAACGAGATGTAATATTTGTCTCAATATCCTTTTGTTTGCACTGAATGACTTAGAAATATTAATTATTACTCATCGCCGACGTTTTGAATGTGATTTTTTTCTTCTTCAAGTGTAATTTTTTGACAGAATTTTGTGAAACTCTAACATTTGCAATTTTCGTGAAACTTTGGGAATACAACAACGTTATCATATTAGACATTATAGGCATCCAGACTGATAAGTGATAAGTTTGTCTTCACTAAAAATATGACTTCTCAATAAATCTTTCCCGGAAAATGCAAGTAATGCGTGGCATTTATTGTGCTGTAGAAATGAAGAAAGTTCTGATTAAGTAACTTTTCAGACTCTTTTATTTTATGTGACTTTGTACCTCATATTATTTTAACCACATTATTTATAAGAAACGTAAAAACGATTCGACCGACGGGAGAAAGAAAATTGAGAAAACGAATTTAGCTACTTCTTTGAGGTTGTTCGATGTGTCGGCGTCTGTAGGTTTCATGTTTTTATGAAATTCGTATTAATTTTTTTTACGGAAATATATAAGATTTTAAAAACTCAAGAGAAAACCCATGCTGTGTTTTCCACAACGTTGTCGATGTTTTTGACTTGAATTTACCTCTGTCATGCAAAATATGAATAAAATACAAATCTAACCCAATAGTAGGTGCTACAACGTTTGATGTTTTTTTATGGCAAATACTACAAAACCTTAAGAACTTAAAATGTACTTAATGGTTGAAGGTTACAAAGCTCTTTTTATTTTTGTGACGTAAATCTATAATAGGTATTTAATTGACATACCTGTTCTATACTTTCCCTGACGGATATTTCGTGGAAACAAACGCATCCAATTTCCTTGCTCCTCCTTTGTCCTTCTTCCAACGTTACCATCCGGTCTTCCACTTGATCGATTTTATTTCCTACTAAAACTACCGGTACATCGCCAATTCCGTCTTTACTCGTACTTCCTAATCTACGTCTACGTTTATTGTAGTTAATTAAGAATTTTAATCGATAACATTCATCAAAGGAACACTTGTCTGTGACGGAATACATAAGGATGAATGCTTCTGCCCACCTGATATTTGCTTCTAACGCTAAACATTCGCTCTCCTGGAAAAAATCAAAAAGGAAAAATTCAACTTATCTATTTTCAATAACGAGAGTAAAATGCTCTTTGATTTTCCTTATCCTGCCCGACTTGAATTCTGTAATTTCTTTTAGTATACCCATAAATCTTCGTTATTTCGTCTTCTTATCCCCTGATACTTAATCTATAACGGTTGTTTATCTGTAATATCAGGTTCAGACGTTTTGATGTATGATCGTAATAAAAATTTTTATGCTTTGAGGCGATTAGCACCAATTATTTTGTACTGTGAAATCGATTACTTAGAGTGATTGAAATGAAGCAAAATAAATTGAGCAGTTATGTTTATTATTACTGATACCACGCATACAAAATAGACTCGAATTAATTTTTTCTGTTAATTACTTTCTCACTATCGCACCAAAAAAATGTAATTAACATTTGCATAAAAAATACAATTTTGAAATGATTGTAAATATTAGTAAAACACTTCTGCCAACAATACCTGTTCATGCTGATAAGTGAGACCTTGGGAAAACGGGTAAATTATTCGTCAGGATATTAAAAGTAATTAACTGTTACCTGATGTACTAACGATAAGAACAAAGGTAAATATAAAGCTTTGTGCTTTGAAACCGTGTAATTTGATTGTAATTAAAAATTAATTAAGAAGCGGTGGAAAAAGAAAAAATGTAATGTCAGAAAATGTAGATATGTTTTCAAATTTTAGCAATTAAAACGTGTTCCGGAGCTATTTTGCTAATGAAAACATAATAAAAAGGAAAAATATTTACTCTACTTACATGATGCTGCCCTGCTGTGTCTAGAATATCAAAATACACCATTTCGTTGTCGATCACAGTGTGGAAAGTGTAAACTTTTTCTAAAGTAGGATCATATTCTCCAATATACCTTTTCGTAATAAATCGAACTACCATTGCTGAAAAAGAAGTACATATTTGACATCTAATGTTTTTCTCGGTCAAGTTCTTAAGTAAATACTCTCGAAATAGATAGTTTAGTTCGAAAGAGCTCAAAGGTTTTGTTTACGTCCTGTACTACTTGTGTACTCAAACACACATTGGTCAATAATCAATAAGGGTACAACGTAATAAAGCTTGAAATTTGTTTGTGCCTCTTTGACATGATAATGACAAAAGTTTTTATTTAACTTATTGTGGGAGAATTTTGTGTAGTATTTATTCACCAATTTAATGGAATTAATGAATTTTCTGCTTGTAGAACTGATGTAGATATTTGTTTACAGTAACAAATAGCCAACAACGGTTGCAGCTTTCTTTAAATTAGTATTCGTACATTAGAATCACTTTGGATTTTAACTATAAAATAGATAGATCTCATTTAACTACGGTTTATTTCTTCGTTGTGGTTTGTTAGTTATTTTTATATAAGCACTAAATTTTTTAGTATTGCTGCCAAAAAAAATCCACATTAAAAAGATTGTGTGTTGACTAACACATATTAATGCGAAAACGTTGCACATTAAATGTGGTATTTAATAATTAGCATCTATGCACGATTCGTCCAACTGGAAACTGAAGCCGTTGGCTATTTTATTGAATATGCCATTAATCAGTCAACAAGAATAAAAAGTGCTGGATACAAAAAATAACGTATGGTAAATATAATAAATGACAGTTAAAAATAAGAAGTGATAGATAAATACAGCAAGTATTGTCTACAGTGTGGTAGTATGGTCTATACGATAAAAATACTCGTTTAAAAAAAATATTCGCGCGGTATAAAAATGATTTAATGGCTGATGAAAATAATAACTGCTAGATAAAAATAATAAATATACTTTGAAATGGGTGAATGCTTGATAAAATTAATATTTGCTTTATAAAAAAAATAAACATACTGTAAAATAAGTTACGCTTGTTAAAAATAATAACGCCGAAAGAATACACAGGTATTAAACAACAAGATAAAAAAAGTCACACATCGTTTTGTTTATATATTACGTGCTTAATTTAAAGAGCGGATTTTTTCGAAATATGCATAATTTTTATAAAAATGCACAGTTTTATGCACATATGCAATTTATATCCGACGATCGGGAAAGAACAATAAACTACAAACAAAAAACTCGAGAAATATCTATAATTACATTTATTACCTATAACATATTTTTAGATAAAACATAAATACCCTATAGATTTTTTTTTGTTGTTACAATGAACAATTAGATGTTCTTCCAAATTTTCCATTATAAAATTCTGTTTCCTATTTGTCAGTAACATTTTGTAAGACGAAAAACTTCTTTCTACATCAACAGATGTAATCGGTGTGTACTTTAACGCAGTAATAATGTCCGAACCTAATTTATATTAATGATTCGCCACTTAAAATTAAACTGATGTTTCCTAGAAACTTGTAACCAGTAATTTTGCTAACTACCTCTTTTATTTTTGAATCGGAACAAGTCGATTTGCCCTTGTAGAAATCATGTTTTTCCTCTACTATAAAATGTTTTGTGATCTTTTACAATTCATTTCTATCATATATGATCAACAATTTTGGTATGATCGAAATAATAGGCTTCCCTATAATTTTTGATGTCAGAGTTACAGTCACTCTTCTGTCTTGGAACCACATATTACTGTTTCTAGAGCTTTGGAAATTTAGCTAATTGCAAAGATTTATTAAATAATAAGGTAGAGACGATATGCTAAAAATTCTAAACACACCTTCAAAAAAGTTACTGGAATCCTATTGGGTTCAGCACTTCTTTATCAATCATACTACGTATTCTACTTGTAATGTCTTCCAATTGAAATATCAAAGTTGTAAACATCTAATATGCTATTTTTGATTTCTCATATCTGAACCGAGATAACAGATAAATTAGAACAATTTGAGTGAAAAAATTTAGCAGAGAGATGCTTTGACCATCAGTAGCATGAAATGGTAAGTTATCATTTTTAAGCTCGTCAACAAAGTTCCAAAAAATTTTACCATCTGTTACAACTAATATAAAGTTTTCTGTCATTCTATATTCCTACTGTAGACTGAAGCTTTCAATGTGAGGCGCTTATGTTTGCTTAATAAGAAGTTTTTGCAAATTAGAATCACTAACCCATTTAGACCAACTATTTTTATGTGGGCATGATTATCAATGACCCATTGAAGTTAAACAAAATAGTTGTTAATTTCTGCATAATTTGCGTTCCCAAAATCTAAACAAATATTTAAAGGTTCTTTTAGAATCTTGCAGACGTTTTAAAGTTATCGTAAGCATGGTAAATTTTTAATAAATAATATTTTTACCCCCCCCCCCCCAAATTGATGATGTCATCTCAAAATTTTGCTGAATAAATACTGTCTAAAATGTACAAAATATAATGAGTTTATGCATGTGATTTATCATTGGATTCATATTTTTTAGAATTGCTTAGACAGGGTGATCCAAAAAATTAATAGATTATACTATATATGTAATAATTAGGGACTCTACTTAGTCCAAATGTTTTTACTTTACTTTCATATTTTTGCTACGTTTCATGACCCCTTCAGTACGAAATAATATTTCCGTCTTCCTGCCATCTGTCTGTTTGTGTCGATTTTTAATGGACTCCGACTACTGGACAAATTGTTGTCAAATTATATACAGGGTGTTATTGAAAGGTACGTATAACAAAATGGACAGTTCTTCGCGAAGTCTAAGAAACCGGAAAAACTTATTTTGTGTTATCAAAATTATAAGGGGAAAATTAACCCTTATCCAACCTTTTTAGGCGCTACTGAAGGATAAATAGGTAAAATTAATGTATTTTAGTAAATCCTAGCAACTGTAACAGTAAAACTTTTACCAAGACTAAATGTTGCTATAGAAACGAAAGATGATCTTTCTATCAGAGGCGTACAACGAATTTGGACATAAATTTTAATAATTTTTATCTCTAAAAGGAGAACACTTTTACCTGAACTTTTTTTAACTTTTAGCACCCATAATTCGAGACCAATTGCCGATTTTATTTTGTACGTACCTTTCAATAACAGGCTGTATGTTTGTTAATAAATAGGAATATCGTGTAGATGATAAAGCGCTAACCAAAATTTGTTTAATCAGCCCCACAAACAATGGGATTATGTCATCTCAAAATATTGCATCGTACTCGTAAATTTGATTTAAGCTTTATAAAATAACATACTCCTAACTATAGATATCCAGATTTTTTGGAAAAAAAAATTAAAATTGTATAACAACATTTTACAATTTAACTTTGAAACTACAAACCCGAATCCTGTGAAATTTAATAAACGTTTTAAGGTTATCGTAAGCGTTAATCAAAATTTATCAGCCCCCCCATTTATAATTCTGTTTAAAATGTGGAAATTATTATGTGTATACGTTTTTGTTTATCAATGCCTTCATATTTTTTAGAATGATTTATACATCGGGTGACTCAAAAAAAATGAGGCAATTTATTTTATCGACCTAATCAAGAACTACCACGCCACTTTCTCGAAAATTCAGGAATACAGTACTGTTATTATTAGTTATTATTAATAGCTATCCAAATTAATGCATAAAATATGCCCACCCTGTTAAAATGTTGATGCTGTCATCACAAAATTTTGTCATGGAAAACTCACTTAAAACACGCGCATAGCAAGCTTCTTTCCTGTTACTTACACACATCTTCATTTTAACTTATAGGGGTTATCATAAAAAACAAAATTCGCAAATTCAAGTTTTATAATTTTTCGAAAAAGTCGGATATGTTGTATTGTACTTTAGGGGCGAGGCAAGTTCTCTCTAAATAACCGTAGATCGATTTTTAACGTTAGGTGTAACACAATTAATTAGTTCTCACATAACACACATTGTTATACATCAATAGTGTTACCTAAGTAATATTACCTTGGTCTATTCATTTATCTCAATTAACACATGAATTAATTCAGACTGAATGAATTAATTTTGTTATTGATTGGTACTTCATTATTACAGAAAATAATTTTTGAACCACCACTGTTCAGAAGCCTAACACTGACTGTTATTGCACTCTAGTCGTCGACAATATTAGAATTTTCTAAAGTTATTATTAGTTAAGTAACGGGTGTTCAATTGAAAAATCACTCAGAGTAGGCATTGGAATATCATTTGACACATGTTTGTTCTTATAACATATAGCATATAACAGGTTATGTTTCTGCCAAATGGATGTTATAAGAACATACATGCCGTTTGTGTCAAATGAAATTCCAACCGCTTCTCTAAGTAATTTTTCAATTGAATACCCGTTACATCGAAAATGGTAGTTTGCTTGACGGTGGTAGAAAAATATTCATTTACTGCACAAATGAAAACAATAACATGCAGTGGGAAGGGGGGGGGGGGAGACAGTACTTAAAGTAACTTGTTACTCCTGTATAGCAATATTTTTTCTATAATATAATATAACTCATTATAAAAAACATTAATAAAATTCGTCAACGTGAATTTTGAAATAACAGTAATAATTTTCTGGATTAATTAATTAAATACATAAAAAATTTAGGTTCAAATTCACACTATATCTGTCACTTGTGTCATTCTATTTTGACACTTAAATGCTGAGGCTCAAATCCTCAAACCCTAAAATTTTGGCAAATCAAGCGTAGGTTATTGGTGCAAATTCATTTTGTTCTGAAAAAAAAATGGATGAGAATAGTTAACACAGCAGTAGATAATTTGGACTCATCAACAAGTGTTATCTAATTTGAGACCAGATTATTAGAAGTTGTGTCCATTAAAAGGAAAATTTAATGAATCTGAAGAGATTTCGATTTTAATAGAAACCTTAAAACAGATCCAGAGAAAGTAATTTGTATAGTTTACTTTTAGTAACCGTCGTTATAATAAAAAATATGTAAAAAAGATAGTCTAAGGTTATTTAGACAGAACATCCCTTGCCTCTGAAGTACAATAAAACAAATCCAACTTTTTATGCATATGTTTTAACTGAATTTTCATAACAAAATGTTGCAATGGCGCCAAATGGAGAATTTGGATACCTGAGTGTAGTACTTGGTATTTCAAAATTTCGATCAACAAAATAAGCATATAAACAATTCTAAAAAAAACATTAACGCGTTGATAAACCACAATACATTTTAGAAACGATTTATTCAGCAAAATTTTGAGATGACGTCATCAAATTATTGGTGGGGATGGTCAGAGAAATGTTAGTTAGTGTTTTACCATCTACATGATATTCTTAAAATACACACAATTACTAATAAATTAGCGACAAGAGACAACAAAAGATAGGCGAGAGAAAGAGAGAAATGGTAGACCTACTTTTCATACTTTAGGAAATATGAAACGTAAAAAAAAAATGAAGGTATTTGTAAAGACTTAAGCCAAACCACCCTTATAAGTCAAACTGGCTATTGTAAGCTTTATGGACCCGACCCGTAAGGATTATTACTGTCCATTGTTGACATAATGGAGCTGTGAACTGAGTTAAGTAATAAAATAGCCAGTTTGACTTATAACCGTGCTTTGGCTTAAGCCGCTTAAGTCATAAAAGTTTTACAAGGTGTATGTCAAATGAGGTTACAGTACTTTCTTAGCTTACGTGAGCGAATAAACGTGTTCATTAACAACAGCCATTTAAATATTTATCAGAATTGTGAAAAATCAAATCCCACATAGTCGACCCGAACCGGAAACTACATCTGCATTTCAGTATCATCAAAATAAACAAATATAGAACTACTGCAAAAGTTCAGTTTCACGAGACTCAAAAACATATTTAAAGGGAAACAATTATTTTAGCCCCACGAGAAGAAATGTGATAGCAACTGATACCAGGCGAAAATGCCAACTTTCATCCAAGCTGTAGAATAAAATAACTAGGTGTTATTTTTTAATTTAGTGTGTTTATTTATTTATGATAAAATGTAATTATCTTACCTGATTTTCCTACTCCGCTTTGACCCAGCACCATAACCTTCAAAGTCTTTTGCCTGGGATACAAACCCAACTTGGCTAGCGACGATTTGGGAGAAGTTGCGTTCATTTTCCAGACATCTGAAAAATTTCTTAATAAATATTATGCACAGGAACCGAGTTTTCATTGTGTCATTTATTTATGCTCCACTGTTTATTTAAATAAAACTTCTCTGATTTATTCCAAGTGAAAATCCTAACAGGATACGTTTCATCAACACGAGACGAAAATAAAAATGGGTTCGGGAAATTTTAATCAAACTTGTTGGGTAAGTTATGATATTATTTGTCGACGTTAATTCAAGTTTTGTCAACGAAAGAAAGTCGAGGGAAAGACGTTGGCTTATTCGTTACAGCGTCGTAGTCCAAACATTAAATTAATTGTTTGAGAAAGAATAATGTGATGGATCAACACCATTTAACTAAACAGTGGATGTCAAAAGTGATGTATGGGATGGCGGAATTAATTGATATGGTAGACCGGCATAGGCTTTCCGTATTCGACTGGCTGTTTTTTGGTTGGTGAAGAGGAAATAATTAGCTTCATTGCTTTCATCTTTGCAACGCATGTATGAAAGCCAATCCGGAATACAAGTTTTAAACTTTAAAGGATGAGCAAGTTTGCGTTCCACCGCTCAACTAGGTCACGAAAATTTCAAATTTAGTTGAAGTTATAATGGAACTATGTAAAACCCACACTGTAAGAATCTCCTACGTAGACTTAACTTTTGATAATACAATAATATAAAATGTAGGTTGTTTGCGTCTTAGTCGGTGAAGTATTACTAAAATTTCTAGAAAAAGTGTTTCCATTATATATTAATTATAATTATATATGTGTAGTAAGTATATTAATAGAAATGGTAACTTACTACATAAACAAAAAAATAGTTATTATGTTGGCTGCTAAAAGAAAATACTAATGCAACTTTATAGTTATAGAGTGAATCTTTCTCTGCTAATAGTTTTTGTGATTTGCCACTTTTTTAACAGACATCAAAATATTCAAAGAAAGAAAATAAACAATAAAGTATTGTTAAATATTGCAACAAAGTTATTGCTCGTGCTTATTGGTTCACCCTGTATACAGCCTGACTGGGGTTTATTGTGACAGATTTTAAGGGGTGATAGTTTGCATTATTTTGAGTAAAAAACCTTAATAACATTTACAGCTCAGACTTATTCCAAAAGAATTATAGAATACACAAATTTCATAGCCCACCGGTTGAAAACCGCTGGAATTCACCTGATATATTGAAATTTTTACAGTTGTTTTATTAGAAACCATGACAATAAATTCAATAATAAAATAATACTTCTGTTTGACAATTTGTCAAAGTATCTCTGAACATGTTTTAATAAATTTAAGATGGATGTCAATGGGTATTCACTTAGAGAATTAGCGGACATTCATTTAATTTATGGAGAGGCACGCGGAGTAGCCCGTGTGGCAGTGCGTTTGTATGGCACTCGTTTCCCTCACCGACGGTTACCCTCAAGAAGAATGTTTCAAGATCTGCACCAGCGACTCCAAGAAACGGGATCCTTGTTACCTAGAAGAGTCGAACGAGGTCCACAACGCCCTCAGCGAATTGTCAACATTGAAGAAGAGGTGTTGGATGTTGTACATGATGATCCTGGAATTAGTACAAGATGCCTTGCCAAACGATTTAATGTGTCTCAATGGACCATCTGGAGAACACTACGAGAACAGTTGTTATATCCATACCATGTTCAGCGTGTACAAGCTTTATCTCCAGCTGATTATCAACCCCGTTTTGCATTTTGTAGTTGGTTTCTACGAAAGGTAGAAGAAAATCCAGACTTTCCTCGTATTATTTTGGCATCAGACGAGGCAGGATTTACGCGTCGGGGAATTTTTAATTATCACAACGTTCACGTTTGGGCAGATGAAAATCCGCATGCCATAAGACAAACCCGTTTTCAGCAGGAGTTTTCAATTAATCTATGGGCCGGTATTGTAAACAATTATCTTATAGGACCTTTTGAACTACCCCCGCGGTTAACGGGTGCCATTTATTGGCGATTTTTAAGAAGAAATTTACAGGAATTGTTGGAAGAAGTGCCGCTACATATCCGGGAAAGTATGTGGTTTCTACATGATGGGGCGCCACCTCATTTTAGCCATCTGGTACGACAGTTTTTAAATGTTCAATTCCCTGAAAAATGGATCGGGCGAGGCGGGGCTCAGCATTGGCCTGCCAGATCTCCCGATTTGAATCCGCTAGATTTTTTCTTTTGGGGCCACATGAAGTCGTTGGTTTATACAGAAGAGATCAGAACAGAAGATCACCTCAGACAACGAATCCATGAAGCCACCAATATTATTCGCGGGGACCCGGAAATGCTCCAACGAGTGCAGGAGCAATAGATTCGTCGTGCCAATGCTTGTGTGAGAATGAATGGAGCTCATTTTGAGCATTTGCTTTAATAAGGTGTTTAAAAATAAATAAAATTACTAACAGTAGTATTTAATTTTTTCTACTTAGTAAAATTTAATATTACATAGTACAGTGGTTCTCAAACGGTGGAGACACATAAAGTTCTGACTTAACCATACGTTTTAGACCAAAATGTTATTAGACTTTTAGAATCAAAATAATGCATATTGTAACCCTTTAAAATCTGGCACAATATACCCCAGTCACCCTGTATATTAAGAAAAATAATCTCTGCTCATATTTTCCCAGTTATCCTTTAATATTTTACGTTAGCTGTTTTATAAGTTTGCGTGATACGTAAATGATGATAAATGTAAACTTAAATAACGTAGTAGTGAATAAAAAGTTACAATGAACCAATACTATGCATTTTGAAGCTGAATAAAAAATAATTTAATTTTTAGTCTTGAAGAGCATATTAAACTCAAATGAATATATGCAGGACGTACGTACCAATGTTAAAAGCAAATTACATAAAACGAGCAAAATTACTACAACATATCGTTTGGCAGAATGGGAAGTTATAAATCACTTAGACTCCTTTAAATAAACGTGATGAGTCAACGTTACGACGTTTTTCGATATCTTCTAAATTGTTTAAGATAAAACATCAAGCTTATTCAAAAATCAAAAGTAGATACACATTATACACGTCACGAAGTTTTTGACAACGATAAACAGATAAATTTTAATTCGTGATACAGAAAGCAGTCGATCGTCTGTGTCGTTTTCTAATAGACAAATAATTCCGAAACTACTAGACCGATCGTTGTCAAATTTTGTATGTAAGTATATTAGGAATATCATGGAGATTGTAAAACGCTAACCAAAAGTTGCTAATCATCCCCATCAACAATTGGATGATACCCGATCATTATATTGTGTAATTAATATTGTTTAGTTTATGAAATAATATACTCCTGTACTTGTGGTTTACGAATCTACCTTGTTTTTCTTTATTGTTTAATTCGTCTTGTTCTTTGGGCACATAGTACGAAGTAGCATAACAGCTAGGGTGATTCATTGGTAACGCACTGGCCTCACAGATACAGTAATGCCACACTCGCTTATATTTAATTATAATAGAATAATAATGATCATAATACAGCTCGTCTAAAATAATATTCGGTCCGTTTTGCTCCATTGTAGCTTAATTGTTTAAATAAAGCCACTACATACTCTGTTTTGACGAGACAAAATCAATCAAGTTTTATTTTCTTTTATAGCAGATGCTGGTTATCGGTACGTGCTAACAATGGAATATCTATAGTTTTTACAATTTTTCAAAGAAGCGGGGTTTGTTAATTGTACTTCAAGGGTAAGGAAAGTCTGTAACTATGTATGATTGTTCTGATCTTACTGAATTTTCGGAAGCTGTAAGAGTGAGGAGTGGCGTATAATTAAAAAAAAGAAATATGTTAAGTTATGGTTATTAGTTTTGCTTCAGTTTTTAGTAATATTAACGATCCTACATATAATTAATGTTTAGTTGCTTACTACATTGAAAAGTAAACTATTAAAGCTTACAATGACCATTAATGTCAGTAGCATTTTTCACAGAGTGTGTTTCTATTTTTATTAAACCTCTGTATATAATACATGTATAATCTAACACTGTTCATTTATTCTGGTATTTAGCCAAGAGGAGTATTAATAATCAATTATTGATTCATTGCCATGGTGCGGAATGTGGGAATTTCTCATCTCCGTTACAACCCAAAGATGATCTCTGAGTACTTAAGCATGGATTTATGAATGGAGAAGTTATATTAGAAATGTATTATGTACATTCGACTTTATCAGTTTATCACCGAATGCTGTTAATATATTTTCTAATTTCCTTTTAATCTGCTGAATTCTTATTGATATAATATGTATACACATTTTTACTTCTTGAGCGTAAGTTAAAGAAGTACATATTGTAATAGAGTCCGTCCGACGAATCGGTATTTTTACGTTTTCTCGACGTTTCATAACCCTTAGAGTATGAAAAAAGTAGGTCTTTTGTTTTCCTCTGTTCGTCTTCTGTCCGTCATTTTTATGTTAGAAATGGTAAACGCTACAACCAAAAATTGTCAAATCTCCCCCACCAACAATGGGATGATGTCAAAATACAATAGTAAATATAATTTAATTTTTGTACTCCTGCACTTGTGGTTTATGAATCTATGTTGAGCTTTTACCCTAGACACCCAGATTTTTAGAAAAAAAAAAAAAAAAAAACTGAAAACAACATTCTACTGTTTAATTTTCAAATTGCAAAACCGAGTATTTGAAATCTTTCAAACATTTTAAGGTGATAGCAAATAGTTAAAAATGTATCTCTTATAACCCCCTCCCCTCAAATGATGACGTCATCTTACAATTTTGCTAAATAAATGTCACTTAAATTTTATAAAATAACGTAGTCCTGCATATGTAATTTATGAATCCGTGTTCCTAATTTAATCAATAAAATAAATTGACTTGTTCATTAATTTTTTTTAGTCATCTGTATAACCAAATCTAAAAAATATAATTGCAATGATAAACCACAAGTAAAAACCCATCATATTTTGCACATTTGGGTAGAATTTATTCGGCAAAATTTTGAGAGTCTGTAAGATTTCAAAGTATTCA